AAAAAAAAAAAAAAAAAAACCTATGGCGAGCGGCCACCCCCTACAGACCGGACAGGACCGGTTCGGGTGTGGGCTATGGAAGCACACCGCATCCAATTTTCGCAGTCACAGTTGCTGCATCGAATGGCACAGCGCAGACAGATGTCACAGGCTACGTGGCTCGTACATGCTAGGAACACAGAGGCACGTCGACCACAATTATGGAGGCATTGCCGTTCCAGCCCCTGTCTACAAATTGGTCATGACATGTCGGGGTGCCGTACAGGAGTACAGTACTGACTGTCATCGTACGTATGGAAGCAAAAACTCGCATGGACTATACCTTCATAATCCTCACTGCACAAGGCATGTGAACCATATGCTAGTTGAATCTCCGGCGGGTCATCACAAAACGGCATGGAGCATCTTTCTTGGGCTTCCTCAATATGTATTCCTTCTCTATGGGCAGACGGCGACAGGGAGGATCGGTCCAACGCAAGGGCATTCAGCTGCTGCAGGATATGATCCGCAACAGCTCGCCCTGGTGGTGATAAACTATGAGCACATCGCTCTGCCGGTGGTTCATATAGAAGTCTATTTTCCTCCTCGGACTGCTGTGTTCGCCGTTCGTCTGGCAAGAAAGAGGGAGATCCGTCAGCGGTTGCCGTAGGTGTATGACCAATACCGCATGTGGGACATGCTAGGAGAGGATGTGGAGGGTGATGGCACCGGGGATAGTCCACGCAGTAAAGACACATACTTTCTATGACAGCTTCCTGGAAGCATTGACGACACATCGCATGTTGCTGACATGTCATTAGTATGGAAGGCTGACGTGCACAGTTATTTAAGCATGGCAGATCAACGCCACAACGGCATGCTGGGCAAGTAATCAGGGGGTGGGGGGGATGAGCACAGGACTGGGGATCACAATTTTCGTCTGAGAGGCTAGCAGCGACCATCCCTTCATAGTGTTCGGAGCAGAGGCTATGTCGTATACATGCCAACCGAACTGTACCTGTGCGATGACACAACGGGAGGGCACAGCCATCATCCTGTGGAAATGTCCTTTCACTGTTTGTGGTAGAATCAGCAGGATTGCTCTCCGGGGGCTGCAGTGCTTGCAAATGCTCATCGACATACTGTTCCGGATCGACGAGCCAGACTGAGTGACCCTCCAGCATTTGGTGATAGAAAGAGGTGTGTGTGTGTGTGTGTGTGTGTGTGTGTGTGTGTGTGTGTGTGTGTGTGTGTGTGTGTGTGTGTGCAATTGACCACAACAAAAAGGTACCTTCACTTGTTCAGACACTTTTTTACTTACCCTGCAAGGCACCGTTCACAGCAAAGAAGATGGAAACAACGATCGGCCCGAACACCACCTGCCCCAGCGCCATCTTTGAGGCGATGCTTAGCATATCCCGATTAGGAAAGGCATGAGACATCAGCTTAAACCATCCATGCAATACCGGCCCCGAGAAAAAGAACCCAAAGGACGTCATCCGTGCCAATCTTGCCGCATCGATCACAAAGCCGGGCCTGGGGCTAGTCAACACCTGTTAAGACATCAAAGTCCCACCAGCCATATCAAACCATTTGTAATGGGCAGTTAAGCAGCAGCTGATAAACAAGTCATATTTGTGCTACATTTCCATTCCTTTTTTTTCTTTTTTTTTAACAAAAAACAGGTCCTTATGGTCCTGGCTCTATATGCATTAAGGGGAGCATCAGTCCGGTTCCTATTCCACCGGCAAGTCAAACCAACAATATTAATCACATACTCACTCACCCTTCCGTCCAGCCGAAGGGTCCTGACTCCTGAATAGCATTGACTACTGCATTTACTAGAGGATTGACTGTCAGCTTGCTCTACATTTCCATCCCTAACACCAAAAAAAAAAAAAAAAAAAACATACCTGCGATGAACCACTTAGTTCAACAGTCCATGCACATGCTCAATGAGGGTTCACACGAAATCCACACTGGAGACCAGAGGTGAAAAGCCCAGATTAGCGCAGCTTAGAAATTCAAGCGAATTATCACATTACACAGTTTCAGAGTTCTAGTCACCAAGCGCTCAACAGCGCACAGTTCAGCAACCCAAGATCCAGCATCCTCATCCAGGTAGGTGACTCTCTCTCTCTCTCTCTCTCTCTCTCTCTCTCTCTCTCTCTCTCTCTCTCTCTCTCTCTCTCTCTCTCTCTCNTCTCTCTCTCTCTCTCTCTCTCTCTCTCTCTCTCTCTCTCTCTCTCTCTCTCTCTCTCTCTCTCTCTCTCTCTCTCTCTCTGTGTGTGTGTGTGCTATGTAGATCTCGACTCTGAATACATATGCTTACTTCTCAGCTCTACTCTTATTACCATACTGAGCGGCTATTGCCTTCCACAGCGCAGCGCTGCGCAGCCAGGGCTCTAGCGCTGATCAACTCGCGAATAGCGCACATGCGCACAGCAGCACTTCCACACTTCTCGCAAATAAGCCATCTGACCGTAATATGACTGGCCAGTCCCTATATTGACTTCGACTGGGCTTGACTCGTCCCAGCCTCTGCTTCTCTTGGCTTGACTTGGACATGAGACCGACTGCCCGGGACCTGTTTGCTTTTGGAATGTCAAATGTCGAGGCCCGGTACCTTCCAGAGTTTTCCTTGGTGTGCCGCTGCTTTTTGGACTGTCGGACGTAACTTTTGACTGTGGGATGTGACTTTTGCCTTCGGGATGTGACTTTTTGACTGGGTACCGGTTGGACTAGACCTCTGGGGTACCCGACTTGACGCTTCCGAGTCTGGCCGACTTGGCCTCTGTGACCTGGGGATTTTTGACCCCAAAATCCGAATTGGGGGTCTGCAGCGTGAAATGCATTTCATACCTGTTAAGGAGCCAAAAGAGGAAAAAACGGGAAAAAAAAAAGGCAGGAGCAATCGAACGAGCAGAGTCTTTTGTTAAAAAAAAAAAAAAAAAAAAAAAAACTCTCCTGAGTATTGATCCAGTTTTCAAGGATGTCCTCAAGGACACATGCTGGTACTACCTTCTTCGCCCAAATAGAACACAGCGGCACTATTAGCTGTATTTGTGGCAACATTCAGTCTAGGTACAGTCCTGACGACCACAGGTTCTCTTCGGGTGAAGACGGATTTTTTGTTTTGTTTTTTTTTGTTTCAAAAGACTCCTCGTTGGAATAAACTTCATGCTACCGTCTTCACCCAAGTAACCCACTCATTACAGCCGTATCCGGTGCAACTTTTGGTCTAGGTAGAGCGATAATGACCGGACATTCTGTTCAGGTGAAGACGGTACTCTCTTCGAACTGTTCTTTTTTTTTGAGGATGTCACTATCATGGATTAACAATATGAATACGGCCTTCCGCTGACATTACAGCTGCTGAGGATGCATGCATGGAGAGAGGCGAAGGCGAGCCGTTGAGGATGTCACGGTATGGGCCTCAGTTAAGGAGTTTCTTGACTGGTCGTGGGAGGGAGAATGTAGCACAACTTTGCTGCAACTTTCTGAAATAATACTTAAAAAAATAAAAAATAAAAATTCAAAGGCACGCCATCATGCTCATGTTTCTGTTGTTGTTGTGAACAGAACAAAGGATCTGACCAACTTCAATTGTCACAGACGAACGGCATTAAAAAGAGATAGCGGAGAAACGGACCTTCACACTGCAGTGACTGTACCCATTTAAAGTGCAATCACACAGGAAGAAAGCACTCATACACCAAAGATTGTCAAATATCTACTGGAAAGATGAAACGATAAAAAGCAAGCACGACTTGAGAATGTCGACAGTCCGCACGAAATCCGACCATCATGAACGGCTACAGTGATAAACTGTCACAGACGTTGACGCATGCCAACAATGACCGCGGCATTACGATTGAAAGGGTTTCACAGTGTAGACACCCGAGTCCCGGTTCCAGGGTCCCGAATTGTCGCAGTCCAAGATGGTCCATGTCCCACCTGTCCTGGGAGGTGAGTCCCAGGTAGGGTCGTTAGGGTCATTAGGATCCTTAGGTCAGTAGGAGGCCACCGAAACGTCACAGGTCAATGTCAGGCCGGTACCGAAGAGGCAGACCGGTAAAAGTCCCACCGGGACCCGATAGGAAAAGTCCCAGGCTCGAAGTCCAATTTTGCAGCAGCAGCAGCAGCGTCCCAGGCAAAACAGACCGGTAAAAGTCCCACTGGAACCCGACAGGAAAAGTTCAGGGTCC